GTTGTGTTCTCTTTCTTCTTTTTTTCAGCATGGAATAAACCTATTACTTGTTCCTTTGCAGCCTACGCATGCTGACGCAGCTACCCACCTGAACTACTAACATCTAGAAGTGTACTATAGTTGTCAAGGATACATTCTACTCATTCTCAATGGTTCTTCTACAGTTGAAGTATTGAAAGAACTTTTTATTATTTGTTTTAGCCTCCATTGCAGTATTCCTTTCTTTCTCTCTCTTGGCTATTCAAATATTCTTTTTAACTTTGTCTTGTAATTCATAGTACACCTTTATTTAAGTGTGTCCTGTTGTTTTTTAAATTAATAAAGTATTTTGTTTTCCGCTACATTTTTCCTAGGCCTTTTTTGATGTAGGGGACACACATTATCCCCACTCAACCCTTTAATGATCAGTGGGGTTAATTTTTGGTGAGGCATCCATGAAATAACTTATCTCATCTTGCAAGAAAGCGGTTGTTATATGAGCAGATGAAAATGTGCATTGTCCTGCTGGAGTTGGGTTCAGCACAAGCCAGTAGATAGGACAACGAGAAAGGTCCATTTTATCAAAGTTGTGTTATACAGTCAGGTTGCCATCAGTCACTACAGGAGAAGTTATGACACTTCTACCTAGACCATCATAGCTTGGACCTTTCCAAGTGTGAAACGCTTTCAAACAGTAGTTTATTTTTCTATATGTCTGTGTCACACTTGCTGACTTTCATCAAGGTGGTGTACACAAAACCTTTATTAATCACTTACGAGTACCTGATAACTTCATTACCTGTGCCAATCAACACTCACTAATGATGCATTTTTAGTGGTAATGCAACAAACACCCAACTGTTTTTTCATCATGTTCACCACAGTCAATCATACATAATCAAAAATGTATTTTTTAAACAAACACTTGCCTACAGATATTATTTAAGTGCTAGTGAATTCTTGGCATCACTGTCAGTCATTGTCTGGGGTGTCGTGTTTCATTTCTACAATTTATTATATAAGCAGTGTCCTTTACAGCACCTATTTATTTGTGGAAAACCTCAGGGAAAGATGTTGAATAATTTATTTTTCAACTGAACACTGTCATGTTATAAGATTCTTAAGACCAGCCATATCTGCCAGTTTCACAATATAATCATGACTGCATGGCAGAGATTCCATATGGAATCACATGCCAATTTTAACAGCAAAATATTTTCAATGAAAAGAGTGGGGTTTGTTGAAACCCATCACAGTCGTAAGACCTAGTGCCTAGACACTTGAATTAATAGCTTTTGCCTCAAGCTTACTTTCCTAATGTAGAGTCAAGGCATTCTGTTTGATCTCAGGATGAGCATCCTGACTAATATCTATTCAGTAGGCAAGCTGTCATATTTTTTTAATTTGGAAAATAATGGACATTCACCATTTCTTTCATGATTCATATGGGTGATAATAAAAGTTCAAAAATGCTGATTATGCCCCATGTGAAAGCATTTCACTGGGTTATGATTTAATGCAGCAGTATTCAGAAATAGAGTTTTATTAATAGATCATGGTATTTGCTTCCATAATCATCATGATGTGAGCAGGACGCTTTCTGAAATTTACGTCATTCTGTCTTTGCTGTGAACGTACACAACCACATTTAGATACAGCTTCTCTGCATTAGCAGAGTTTGATGTCAAAAAGCTTAAAATTGTCAAAGCCAGTTTAGCAATGATTTTCTAAATAGAAATGAAACATTACAGGTTTTACAAAAGAGTATGCTGCCATTATCAGGTAGAATTTGACTTAGGAATTCTTACACATCTGTAGTGTCTGTAGAGTAATTGACATAGAGGGAGTGGACAAAAAATGGAAACACCAGGGTAAATGAGGGACACCAAGTACAGTATGTTGATGCCACTCAGGTGTAGCTCATGTTTTTTAAGGAAATAATATCAGTGCATGTTTAGGGTCTTGTATAAATATGCTAGACAGATCTAATTTACTATATTTGTGGCTAGCATGTCTGCAGGAGACCTCAGTGTCCTGTAAGCAGCCAGTTACATCATGGTCTTCTCAGTTAAGAATTGCTGGGACATTCTGGCATGACACCAGAGACAGTTTTATCCACCATCATGAACTAGAAGTGAGCAGATTGACTTTCTCATTAAAGAATGGTGCCTCCAACAGAAAAGCTGGTAGACTGTGCTATAGCGTATTCAGGCCATACTGGCTGCAAGTGGTTGCTTAACGTTTAAGTGAATTTACATTGTTGTGACTTTTTCTGTTTTACATTGTTGTGACTTTTTCTGTTTACTGCCTGTACCTTAGAACATTTTAATTTATTTTGGACACAAATTTTCCACAGGATGCTGTCCTCCCGCTCAAAGGGTGGATTTTTTAAACGCTAACAAAAATTGAATGAAAAGCAGAAAGCCTGTAATAAATTAATTGGATTTCTTTTTTGGGTATGGGATTTCTGCCATGAAACAGGCAGAACTACTTACTTACCACAGTCTCCCCATCTTACATACTGTAGATACTAGTCTGGGTGTGTTTGTATGTTCACCAATTAGATAAAACCATTTAAATACATTGATAATTTTAAAATCAACTTTATATGACATCATTTATAGATATAAATGTAGGTGCAACATTGTTTATGCTACATATGCCTGTTATTTGATTTTGTTTTGTAGAAAGTTGAGCAATTCTGTGTGTACATAAGAAAGGTTACAAACAAGATTAAACCATTCAATCCATCTAGCACATTTGGTTGCTGGTAACTGCTTCAAGCCATTCCAGCCAGGATATCATCTTTGAAACCCCACTACCCCATTTGTTAAAATTGACTCATTTTATGAATGAGGACATACCACTGATTTGATTCCTCTTGAGTTGCCATTGAGGATTTTGGATAATTGAATAAGGTCCCTTTATAGTCGCCTCTGTTCGAGACTAAAATTATACATCCCTTTTAGCTTCTCAATATAAAATATTTATTGATGTACTTGGTCACTCTTCTTTGGGCTGTTTCCAAAATAGTATTAATTTTTTGTGATTCTGTGACCAGCATAGAATAACATAACATAAATAATGTTTAACATAGAATATAATAACATAACATAATGTTTAAGAATAAAATAAATCAGCAAAATGGTAACTGTAAGCTAAGCTGAATCAGAAAGTCTCAGTGCCCTTTTAAAAATGTTTTAAAGTTTTCAAGCTTTAAAATCACTGTATGTCTGAGTCTCCGATTTGTTTGAGGAAGTGTTTTAGTAAACCAGTATAAGCTGAGCAAAGGTTACAAGGAAGGATGTAAACAAATAACATTACTTTGATACTGTGCTCTATAATTTAAACTATATATCTCTTAAGGTTTAAATTGTTTGCCTCTGACAGTGTAGTGTATGTACAGTAGTTCTGTTTTACTGTATAATGTATATGTTGTGGTTTATGTCTGTGTATTTAACTTTTTTCACAGGATGGAGGTTTGCTGATAAACAATCCTACAGCCTTGGCCATTCATGAGTGCAAATGTCTGTGGCCAAACACGCCTGTGCAGTGTGTTATATCCCTGGGAACCGGTCGTTTTGAGAGTGCAGGCAAGAACAATGCCACCTACACCAGCCTCAAAACCAAACTGACAAATGTCATCAGCAGTGCTACTGACACAGAAGGTGGGTGATGGCATATTTTCACAGTAGTGCAACAAACATGGCAGTATTGTGAGCTTTTTTATTAAAGATTCTTACTTGCATTTCCAGTGAATAAAACCTGTTATACAATGTGATTACAATTGTAAAGAATGTTTTAAAATCTTAAACGTGTGAACTAATACCAATGTTAATGGAGTTTATCAGAGTGTTTTAGTTTTTTTAGTTATCCTGTGCACACATTAAGTATGAACGTATCAGTAACAAACTATAACATTCAGCTATAATGTTTAATGTTTATTAGAATATCTGACACATCATTTGGTTTTAGCATTTGGCATTTTTCAAACTTTATTAACTGTATGATATTTTTTATATTTGTGTTTTTGCACAAACCTTTTTCATCAAAGTAATTTTATGTTCATTCATGTACTTTTCAATTTTCTTTCATTATTGCAGTATTCAGTGCTTAGCATGTAAGAAAATATTTGACTTTGTCTTGCTAACCATAGTTAATTTACACATAAATAGCTTTGGTTAGAAACCCCAAATTTGCATTGGTAGCGATGATTGTTTCAGGTGTTGCACTGAGGTGGATTAACACGTAATTGAATGTGACAAAGACCAGTATGACTATCCTACTGTATTATTCGTGCTGAAAAAGGAAGAGGGTTTCCAAATGAAGTGCTGTTCATTTTGGTTTAACATCGTCCTAAAGGTTCAACAACCTTTAACAATAGAAGCAAATATACTGTACAGCAGTGTCCTACTTTTGTAAATTGAGAGCAAATGTTCAAACAGCTATTACTTTCAAAATTCTGTGTGGTACTTCATACAGCTTAGTTACCCTCAGGTGCACCATTATTACAGCAAAAAATGTAATTTTGGGACGGTTCCTAACCATTACTATGAATAGCATTAATTATGGTGACATACAAAGTATCTGTATATAAATGTGGTAGAAGACTGGTAAACACATTAGACTAGATTCTATATTGTGTCTTGGGGAACATTATATAGTTGCACTTGGATTTTGGCACACTAAACAGATATTTTAAAGTAGCTGTACAAAACATAACATAGTGAGTGAAAGACAATCATGCTTTAACCTTGGCACTTTCTTTGATGTCATGAGAAGAGGTGCTCTTGTTAACCTTTCTATAGCACAGTTGATTTATACTTGTAGACAGCTGTTTTTTGCTTTTGTGTCTTCTATACCCGTTTGTGCTTGATTTATTGACCTATGGACACATTTGCCAGAGAAAACAAGGGTTGAGACACACTGCAGTGGCTCTAAATTGTGGTAATGAATGTAAAATTGAATCACAAGTGGACACTGTTTGTATAGAGAAACCCATTATAGCACAGACATTTTTTCATGTTTCAAATAATTTATAATTTTTATCCAGAGGTCCACACAATGCTTGATGCCCTCCTACCCCAAAATACCTATTTCCGCTTCAATCCTTTTATGAATGAGGACATACCACTGGATGAAAGTAGGAAGGAAAAACTTAACCAGTTACAAATTGATGGAGTTCACTACCTGGAGAGGAATGAGCAAAAGCTGAAGAAAGCTGCCAACATATTAATTCAGGAAAAGACCACGCTTCAGAGACTGCATGATTGGGTGAAGTTAAAAGCAGACATGTATGATGGTCTGCCATTTTTCGCCAAATTGTAGGAAGAACAAAAAATAAATTTATTGTGTGTTGTTTTCAATTCTTTACAGATCCATAACCTGAGTTATTTAATTCTAACACCAGTAGAGCACATTCTAGGCCTGACACTATTGCCAGTTTTTGGCTTAAGAGTGTTATCATGGACTGTAACAAAAACTAAAATTGTCTTTAGGCTATTTTTCATAGGTACACATGTTCTGAGCTGCCACTTTATTAAGACTTTAAGGGAACAAGTCCAGTGTTTAGTGTTGAAAGAGCCAAATGGGGGAAGGAGGGAGATGCTCAAGCCACACAGTACTGGAGGTCTGTCCTTTAGTACATCTTGAACAGAGGAATGCTGTGCTGCATAAACTTATTAATGTTTTCCTACAGGAACAGCATTTGACTACATTTGTATTTTAATTCACTAGTGTCTTTGACATTCTGTCCTTTCATATTATTTATTTAAGATAATGTTTATGTATAATAAAGAAACAGAGCACATTTGAGAACATTTATTTTAAATGAATGTCATTATTCCCTCCCTTTTTACCTCCATTAATTGTATTTGTGTAATAACAGACTAATATGGTAAAAACAAACCAATCATGCACTAAATGTAAAGAAGACTAGAAAACTACACTTTTCTCTTCCCACTTGACAGTTGTATTATTTCTTTGGAAATGACCTATATATGTACATAATCTTTTTTGTCTAATAAAATCTGTGATTGATGCAAGGACTGAAAACAAAGTAAAAGCATGTTTATTACTATGGATTACATCTTGCGCTTCATTTTCATGTTTATAGCCAATAGCAGTAACTTGTTTTTTTATCTTTCATTTATCTTCTATTAATTATGCACTTATCTACCTACAACAAAAGAACTTAGATTATAATGAGATTCAACAATGAATGGTCTCCTCATGTCAGTCTGATTTTCTGTTTCAGAAAACAATGTTAGATCACTAATTTCTTCAAAACGAGTATGTGAGATATTTCGGACCAATATTCTTTATGCACAGTGTTTTTTATTGTTATTAAAGAGATGACTGAATATAATATTGTGCTGAAAACTGCTCATTTGGTGTGAGGGAATGAATTTTCAGTGATGTACTCATATAAATGCTTCTGAAAAATTTTCTAAACTTCTAAGCTTCTGCAGATGTGCTTATCCATTTTTCTGTATTTTTTGTTTACCAACACAACACTGAAAAATTATTTGTTTTGATGTTATAGAGAGTACTTGTTGTCCAGTAGATTGCAAATAAAATTGTATGTTAATGTACGAAATGTCTTGTTCTTTTACTGTAAATGGCTTATTTACTGATCGTCTGCATTTAGTACTGTAATATCATAATTAAAGGTAGCCTAATTTGGCTAGTTCAGGGGTGTTTTACAGTTTTGCACAATAGCCCTGTTTACATTTTGCTGAATACAAATTGAATGTTAAAATTTAAATAATTTATTATATATAATTATATATTGCTAAATGGCACATCTTACCATTTAGTATGATCTTTGCCCTTGGTTTCCCTTGCTGAGTTCTCCAATTTCAGGCTCATTGCTTGACACTTTAAAGTGCACATTGTCCATCTCCTGAAGCAGTTTGAACTACCTGTGTATCAAGGCTGATCAGACTACAAGGAAATTCACTATTTTCACCACTGTGAAAATGCACAAAATTTCCACAAAATGATTAATAAACATCTTTGCTACTACAGTATATATCTTCCCCTGTAGCTGTGCCAAATACATTTTTGTCTTTCAACTTTAAAATCTGTTGTTAACATTTTCAGCCATTTCACATCTCTCCTCTGATCTGGCAGTCATGGGTAAGTTTCATAGACCCAGCCTTGTCCATTTTATCCTTGAAGTATTGTGTTTTATGTGAAAATGTCATTGGATACTTGGTGGAACAAGTAATAGGGTTATTCCATGCTGAAAAATAGAAGAGAGAAAACAAACACAACGTTTCGGCCGTGGAGCCTTCTTCAGGTGTGAGAGAGACAAGGCAGTAGGCAAAGGTAATGCAGTGGGACAACAAAGGCTGGGAGGGAGGAGGGGAAAGAAAGAGAGGCCAATCAAAAGGTGTGAGGTCAGGATAGGTGTAGAAAGGTGTGAAATGAAACTTCCAGTGAATGGAGAAAATTTAGTAGAATAGGAGTCCATCGTTAAGAGAGGGGGGAAGGTGTGATCCTAGCTGCAGGATAAGTTTGGGTACCGAAATGTTTTTTTTTCTCTCTTCTTTTTTTCAGCATGGAATAAACCTATTGTTCCTTTGCAGCCTACGCATGCTGACGCAGCTACCCACCTGAACTACATTGGATACTAGATGTTCAACAAACTTTGCTGTCATAACATACACCACAAACAGCATGGTCTTTAAGTTGAACAAATCCATATTCATCTCTCCAAAAGGGCTGAAATGTTCAAACATCTAGCTTTTCTTTCTTGGCTACTGCAATGCTTTTCAAAATGTTTCAGAGGCACAAATTTAAGAGCTTTCCTTTGAAACAGACTTTTCTGTTTCACTAAAAATAATGAAGTAAATCAAGTGAATTGTTTTTTTCTGCGCCAAAGAGCTTTCATTAGCGTGTTATAGACAGTATCCTAATAGTAATCATAGTTTTTATCTTCTGTTTAAGTTCATTTCTTCAAGACTTATTATTATTATTTTATTGCAAGTGCTGTTAAAAATACCTTTGCATGACAATGATGGCATGCATGCTGTAGGTTTCCGGGTCCTGTCTAGTTTATTCATTTTATTTTTTTAAAGTGTTGTTTAGTTTTGACGTTTTATTTCCCAAATTATTTTAGTTCATTTTAGATGAAAATCCAACCATTTGGTTAAAATGGAACCAATACCCATACCAAAAGCTCTCATAGAAAGAAACCAGAAATCCTGAGTCCATGAGTTTGACATTGCTGTAAAAAAATAGCTAAAACCATGGAAACTCGCAGTGTCCAATTTTTTCCGGCTCATAAAATCAGTTTGCAATTTGTTACCAATGTGTCACATGAGGTAGCATACATGTTATTTCCTTTAAACTTGTGTGCTCAACCTGGAGGTCAATTGAAAGTGATAAAAATGAAAAGCCTTGAAAGAAGTTAAGTGTGTTGGCCTGGACTTTAGCCCAAAACTGAAAACTCCAACTCTATCTCTGTATTTTGGAATGGTCTACTATTCCCTTCTCAGCCATCCACATTGATTAAACTGGACTCTTCTTTGAGTGGATGTTCTTGGTAGCACTGGATACATGTTCAGAATGGCCTGATGATTCCTGTGCCAACTCTGCAACATCTTTGCCTAACCATGTATGGCAAATCGTGACTATCTAAGATTGGGTTACAGATCACATCAGAGGAATTTCAGTTTTTTTTGTGTCATTAAATGTATAACCTCCATTCATAACCATCAAGCTACCAGTGGCCTAACTAAATGTTTTATCTTGGCTTTTAAACATGCAATGGGAAAAAGAGATATACTGTAGGCACAGCTGTCACTTCCTGTTAACCTATCAAAATTGAAATAATGCTACATCAAAATGGACACAAGCTAATGGGCCCACATTCAAGATCTTGAATATACTGTATCTAAAACTATTTTTACAGGGATATGCAGAACACAGAGTGCAAACAGTGCAGAACAGCTATGCAATTTGGACAAAATATCTTAGCATAAAATAATCAGAACCAGACGGGTGCCTGGATAAATTGTCTTTCAATCCAGTCCAGTGACATACACCTGAAATAGGAGATAAAATCATCCAGTGTAGACCTGCAGGTCAGATCATGAATGCTGAACTTAATTAAACAACTGAACAGCCTTCTGTTGTTGCATACTGTATGTACTGCCGCCATGTTCAGAATTTGCTCTATTCGACAAGCAAATAGGATTAGACCTTGAACTGAGAAAACAATAACACACATGAGACTTCTGTGACCACAGGCCCTGTTTACTGCTCTAACACCTGAAACTGTGGTGTATGATGATGGCATTAGCCTTATAGAATTCTACATTCACCACAAAGTCTTTATCAGAACAGATCAGAACATTGCTCACAACAGGGAAAATAATCTTTTAAAGATGTTTATTAAATAATGCCTAGTATTACTGATATTTTGCATGGTATAAAAAAACATAACTAATTGAATGCTGAGATAATTAAACACATAATAAAATGGAATACAGCTAACAGTAATTGATTAATTAAGTAGTTGCATACAGACTATACAACAGGGAGGTACATCATGATATTCCATTCTGATCAAGGACTTTGTAAAGATAACATCATGCTAGAAACAGGCTGGACTAGCTCTTCAAGGATAATAATAATAATAATAATTGCTTACACTTGTATAGCGCTT